TCGTTTTTGCATCAAATTATCATTCAAACGTTCCAATTGTTGTCGATAACGCTCGGCGGTGATTGTTTCGTTCGGTTTAAGCAGCTCATAATACACGACACTCTCCATATCCCATCAAATATAGAGCATTGCTTTGTTTGTCGTGAACGTCACAATCACCACTTTTGAATCGAAACCAGTTTCTACATATATTGTTTCCGATGGAGCAGATTCACCATAAATTTCCGCAAGCAATCGATGAGTTTCAGTTGCACTTTTTTTCAAATCAAAATAGTGTAGAAGTACACAACAGCAGTCGGAAAAACAACTTATTACGTTCCATTTTAATTCAGTTATAGAAAAGCACATATGTAACTAAGGATGACGTCTGTTGACTGAATTTTAGTAGGAAATGTTCACACTTCAAAATGATATAAGTAGCAGATGTCTCTGACCATAGCATACGCAGCTACTATCATCTAAACGTGAACAGTAACTTTTAATTTTTTGGGAATGAATTAATATAACGTTTTTTTTCTTAAAGTTCATGTTTTTCTCTTTTCAAAACAATATTTATTTTTATCTATATCTTTTTTTATTATAAAGATATTGTACGATTTTTTGAAGAAAAAAACGATAATTATTTAGAATATCTCTCCCTCCCCTCCACCTTAAATCTTAATAAAAATACATTCGACGCGTTTTCATTTAAAACAAAAGAATCTGACAAAAAAAACGTGGCGGTCGACCTTGTAAATCGAGTTATTAAACATTAAAGTTGGAGACTTTAGAGATTACGATATCTTTACTGTTACATTTTTTCAGACTCCTAATAAAAAAATTTATTTGAAATTTCTTTAGTTTATATACCAAATCTTTTTGTCATATATAATAGTTGTCAATATATAATAATTAAAAGAAATAATATTACATATTGATATACAATATAACCATCTAGCGACAAAAAACCGCGGATACTTTTTAGATGACTATATATATATAATGTATATATAAGCGCTATGTATACGTTCTGCATTAATTACACAAATTCACTGCTTTAAAACAGATTCTCAGCTTTAAAACAAAAATAATAGGAATAAATAAGAAAATTATTGTTTTTTTTAAAGTAGTAAATTTTTCTTGACACAAATTCATCGCTTTAAAGTTTAATAAAATAACGAATTCATTTTTAAACTAGTGAATTTGTTTTTAAAGCAGAGGCTTGTTTTAAAGTCGTGAATTTATGTTTTAGAGTAGGAACTTGTTTTAAAGTAGTAAATTTAAGACCGCAGCGCAAGCTTGCATCTTGCATCGCCGTACTGATTGTGACAGGTTTCTTAACCTCAATAATCGTCAACTTAACGCTTAATATCTCGGTTTGTGAGACGACGCTTTTTTCTTGTGGAATTTTTATTTTTATGCGAAAATGTATTGATTGAGTTTATTTTTACCAAATATTGACATCAACATTAAGATTTAAAAAAAATAAATATTTTCTTCATTAATCAATTGTATATGTATATATCACACAATTAATACATTAAAATTTGAGGTGACCGAAATATTCTCAACCTTTATCATTTTTTTAAAGCAGTAAATTAGTGTAATTAATGCAGAACGTATACATAGAACTGTATCGAATCGGATGATATCTTAACCTCTGGAATATCTCCAACTTTAAAACTTCTATTCTACGATAAGTTGGTAGTCGGAAATCTTAAATCTTAATCAGTTTTACCTTAATAAATGACTATGATTTTTTCGCATCTACTAGTTGTTAATTCGACTAATGGGAAGGAGTACAGTCGAATTTGGTCAGTCTTAAGAAAATCGATAGTCTTAATCATACAAGTTGGCTGTTGATCAACTTCACCGATTCACTGATAAGACTTAGGACTACCGACTACCAACTCATTGTAGACTCAGTCTTAATGCTTAATATGTAACTCGATTCACGAGACCGACCGCCGCATTTTTGACCAGATTCTTTCGTTTTTAGTGAAAACACATCGAATAAGTGTATTTTTATTAAGGTTTGAGGTGGGACGAGAGGAGAGGGGGGGGGGAGTATTCTAAATAATTACCAACCTTTTTATATTTTGATATTTCGATTTTATACATTCTGGCATTTCATTAAAAAAATATATTATATATATTTTTTCTATTGAGATTTGTGATAATTACAGAACTAGTCAAAGACGCCGTCGGTGACTTGGACCCAGACATGAAAATTAAGACTAAAACGAGACATGTAGTTGAGGGTTAATCTAACAGAAATTGATGATACGTTATTTCAACATCATTACAAGAGCTTCTAATTTGATAAATATTTATTGTAAAGTTCTACATATATGTGACACAAAAATTCTTCATTCTATTGGGTCATCTAAAAAGTATCCGCAGTTTTTTGTCACTAGATGTGTATTGATGGTCATATATCTAATGACAAAGTACCGTGGATACTTTTTAGATGACCCAATACTTATATAATAATTTTCACATTTTTTAATGACTTACACTAGTAGAATAAAGCATTATAGAACAAACTTCGTTATATTGACATCAACATTAAGATTTAAAAAAAAATAAATATTTCCTTTATTAATCAATGTATATGTCACACAGTTAATACATTAAAATTATATGCTAAAATTATAATAATTCAATGGTATGCTTAATGTGCGTGTGCGTGTGCGTGTTAACATTTCCTAGTAATGAAAATTGTATCATCATTAATTATTATAGGATAATAATCAATTCTATTCAATATTTCTCAATATCTGATCATTTACTTAAAAATAAATGTCATCATTATCACGTGTTTTTCATATTTAGTTTATTTTAATATTATTGTTTTCTGTTCAACTTCTGTGTGTGTGTGTGTGTGTGTGTGTGTGTGTGTGTGTCAAGTTTTACAATATTATTTCATATAAGATTTTTTTTCACATAACAGATATAAGCTGTACTCACATGTATATGCTTTACGGCCTTTTTCATAAGTATCACTCATAAATACTTTTCATTTAGATATCATCCACTTTTTAGCTATGATTGACCTTTATGATTCCCATCCTATCAAATTAATTAAAAGGTAATTATTTAGATACGGTCATCACCTCCGATTTTGATGAAATTAGGCTTATTTGCTATTTTGCACAAAATGAAAGAATTTGTAGGAAAAAAAAACATTAGGACGGCCTTGCGAACTGAGATATTAAGCGAGATATTTAGGGTGCTCCGCACAATGGAAGGAATAGAGAACAAAGAATAAGAATTTCAACCTATCAGAAATTGTGTATTCCACAATACATGATTTCTGATAGGTTGAAATTCTTATTCTCTATTCTCTGTTCCTTTTATTGTGCGGAGCCCCTTAGGATAGCAGGTATTCCGTTGCGCATAATGGCAATAGCAATATTGGAAACAACCAATCAAATTCTTGCCTAAATTGACTTTTCTGTGTATAAGTATAGTACTGACATATTGGAATAGCCAATCAAATTTTTGCTTAGATTCACGTTGCTACTGCGCAACCACGGGAATGGAACATCCTATTCTTACATCATGATTCTCACCCATTTTTGCTTAGAAAAACTGACGATTCCGTTCGCGATTGCCGAGAAGGAAACACATGTGGATTTTCATATTTACAGGATGTGTAAGATTTTAACTTATCTAATTCATATGTTTCTCCTTTTTTTTGTTTAATGTTTGATATCTATTCTTAAGATCTATTCTTAAGACGTCGCATGCAAGCCAGAAAGTGCATCACGTCAGAATAAATGTTATGACCGAGCGGTCGAACGGAAAATTGCTTGGATCATGCCATGCTAAACCTGATTTTCGAAAAAAAAAAACCGAATTATTTCGATAATATTGGCGCTTATTCTACGATACTAAATATTTATTTTCTTATCTACTTATATTAGTTATATACCGACATGTCTTTTATTTTAGAATGTTCGATGAAAATCTCGATGCTTATTTGACAAATAATAATTCATATTATGCAATGTAAAACTATTAATGTACTAATAAATATACACTAGTATATTTATTAGTACATTTCCAAAGTCTCATAATATTTACAAGATATTAGCTGAATAACACAAATGTAAATGGAAAATACATATCTGTTAAAAACTCATCTTCCACATTTATTCATTTAATTTACAATTAAAAAAAATGAGAATACAATAAAAAACATGAAATTTATACTCATTAATTTCTCATCCTTTATTCTTTGCCTGGCTTATTGATATATGATATTCAATGCATCTGTTCAATAATGATGGCCTTTGCAATCTTTCTAATTCGCATTCAAGTGGCATTTTTTTTTATGATAAAACAGCATACATCCTCTTCACACTTTCACGATCTTCTTAATTGTCTCACCAATCATGTGTAATAAGTGAAATTATTTATTATGTAATAAATAAATAAAATTTTTTTGTAATAAATAATAAAATTATTTATTATATTGTTACTTATCTTAATTCTGTCTCTTGAAACATCCCGAGAAAAAATTTTACATATAATTATATATAATTACATATATTTATATAATTTTGTAAATATACATATAATTTTATGTAATTATGTATAAAATATTTTTTTCCCGGGGCTTATGAGGTTAGGTATTATACATATACCTGCTGTTCAACTACAGAGTTTCCTCAGGAAAATCACAATGATTTTATACGAGTGGAATCACCTATTATTCTTATTTATGGAACTGTAGCTCTTATTTATGGATCTACAAATAAGAACCAATCAATCGGTGAGTAGGTTGCATTCGGAAACTCATCGAAAAAAAAAGTATAGTTGCAATCTTTCTGTGATCGGTTGGACGTGCTCGTGTCATAGCATTTCGCAGCTATGATAGATTTCCTAACCTCAGTCGCCAACTTTAACAATTAATATTTCGATTCGCGAAACAGAGCGACACTTTTTCTTGACAGATCTTTGTTTTTACACATCTATTCAGTATTCTTATCAAAATTTGAGGTGGACGGGATCTTTTTAACATTTACCTAAACAAATATTAGGTCATCTAAAAGTATCCGCGGTACTTTGTCACTAGATATATGACCATCAACACACATCTGGTGACAAAAAACCGCGGATACTTTTTAGATAACCCAATATGTGATATGCGAAATGTATACCTTTCATTATCGATTATTCACTCGATAAAAAACTGGATCACTATATTAAAAAATCACTGATTATTATTTACATTAACTGAACATCGTATTAAAATCACGGAGTAAAAAGAAGAAAATCAAATTCGAGAATAAAAATGGGCTCCAAACACGTCAAAAAACCCATGGAAAATCAGGACAATGCGATTTTAGTGCCGCTGCGGAAAAAGTTGGAAGTATATACCATATGATAACGCGTACGGAATATACATGTATGCACGTTTTATTTTTAATACAGAAATTCCAATTTATATAAAATTTAATTTTATTTGATTAAATAGTAAATGCATCAATATTTATTGAAAAATACATACATTTATATATAATCATAAATTATCATTAAATTATCATTTTTTAACTTACCGACATCAAAAAACTAAAATTCAAAAGAATAAAAACGGGACTTAAACGACAACTTTCTTTGTCAGAATATATTCTATGCATGAAAATACACAAATTTACAGAATTACAGGAAAATGGAAGAAAAAATATTTATCAAATCCTCTAAATTTACAGTTTTATCAGAATATCGGATACATTGAAATACACGGTTTTTGATAGGTTGAAATCATTTATTCTTTATTCCTAATTCCTTATTCTTTCTATTGTGCGCAGGGCCTAAGACTGCTTTTTCATGCTAACGCTCGACACTCATTTTTAGCATTAAAACAAGTCAAAATTAATCAAAATTGGTATTTGTTAATTTTGATCATGCGATCTGTTTGACGCTCGAATCGAGCATCGAGAGTCAGTGCCTTTTCAAGCTAAAAAGGAATGCCATTATATGCGACATATCTTGCATAAGCATAACTTGCATCGACCAATCATATTGTTTCACTTAAATATCAGTATTTGTCTAGTTTTTTATGCTTTTTATGCTATTTTGTTGTTACACCGAAATATTGGGTCATCTAAAAAGTATCCGCGGTTTTTTGTCACTAGATGGTGTTGATGGTCAACACATCTGTGAATGATGGAACCATGCGTTGAATCCAATTTCTGGCTCATTTTAGCTTATTTTGTGTGAAAAAATGCACATGGGTTTCAACAGTACAATTATAGAAGTCGTGCGTTCCTTTGCATCACATGGAAAGTCTAAATTAATCAAAACTCGTGCACTTTTTTTTAAACAGTACAATTATAGATTTTATCTGTGACAGATTTCTTAACCTCAATAGTCAACTTTAATGTTTAATATTTCGGATCACAGGACGCATTTTTTTGCCAGATTCTTCCGTTTCATGTAAAAATGCGTCAAATAAGTCTAACATTGGTCTCACAAGATTTTCTGATTTTAACAATTCATTTGATCATCATATGTATGCGAACCGGAAAGGTGCCGGTTCTCCATGAGGCATACTTTTCGAGATGCGTGGAAAACCAATCATAAATTTGTTTAGCATTTCTGTAGAGTATACAATAGAAATTCTGATCAGCATTTCTCTAATCTTCCGCGAAATACGCCCAATGTATGGGTCATCTAAAAAGTATCCGCGGTACTTTGTCACTAGATATATGACTATCAACACACATCTAGTGACAAAAAACCGCGGATACTTTTTAGATGACCCAATAAATCCCAGCTTTCAGAATGACATATTCTAGTAAATGAGATATAACATATTCTAATAATATTACTAGAATATGTAGATTACGCTTCATGTGATGGCATCCTAAAGCGGAGAACACAGACTCTTGCATAATGCATAACACATGAGGCATAAGAAAATGAACCAATCCTTTATTTCCTTCCTTTTCATAAAATAAAGGACTCTGATTGGTTCATTTTCTTATGCATTATGTATTATATCGAGTCATCTAAAAAGTATCCGCGGTTTTTTGTCATTAGATGGTGTTGATGGTCAACACCATGGTGACAAAAAACCGCGGATACTTTTTAGATGACCCAATATTATGCAAAAGTCTGTGCTGCGGCTTTCAGACAAGGAGCACAGACTTTTGCATGACTCATAACGCATAGTGCATAAGCGAATCAATTAATCAGAATCTTTCCTTTCCTCTCATTCCATGGAAAAGAAGAATTTCAATTAGTTGATTCTCTTATACATTATGCATTATTAAGAATCTATGGCGTGGCTACGCTCGACGCTCATTTTCAGCGTCAAAGTAGGTCACGTGATCGAAGTTGCCGCTAATAGCTAAAAGCGCATGAAAAGGTTTATAGCGTCAAATTTTAAGAGTCAAGTTAGTGTCAACGGCAGTCTAATCTTCTTTCTTTGCAATGATAGAATAGAAATATAGAAAATATACACTTGTGAACTAATTTGGATATTTGACATTATTACGGATTTTGATAAAAAAGACATGAAAATAATATTTAAAATTAATATTCAATATTGTGTAAAATTTATACTAAATATTTAAAATTAATATTTTTGAAGGATATGAAAATTATTGATAAAAGGATATATAGCATCGTATATATAATCTCTAATTTAATATAAACACGACATTTGTTTTTTAAATTACTTTTTTTGTTTTAGTATGAATATTAGAGTCAAATAACTATTAAAATTATGTTTTACTAGTATTTTTATTTATATCATATTGATTTCGATACTTTCGTCCAAATTAATACTCAGTAGGTAGAGGAAAGCCCCCTATTATGAGATAGCGGCGTTTCTGCTAAACTAATAAACGCTATCTATTGATTCCACCATGAATTTATTGCTCTTGGATTGAAAACTATTTAGTAGAAAATTCATTATTAGATCATGCCTGTAGTCATTGTAAAAAAAGATTTTAGAATTTGGATGTCTTCAAGTTTCATTGAGATGAGCCTTTAAACTTTGTTTATTATTTAATAATGATATAAATATTTGGCAATAAATTCTTCAGTAATAGAATAAGGTCGTACTAATAGAAAAATATGTTGAATTGCTTAATTACAGAAGTTAGATTTGATGATCGTAAAATCGTAAGGCATGGAAATCGTAATATGAGATATCTAGGGTATTCCTCATTCCTATGAAATAATTCATGCTCCCATGTCATGGTGAAAATAGCTACTAAAGTATAAATGTTATTGTATGTACAATAATAAAAAGGACAACCGGAATGAATGTCGAGTTTTTGCGATGCTTGATTTTATCTGAAGAGTTCTGGATATAATCTAACGCATACTCATTTTTCGCGCATGCTGGCTGCATTTGTTTGTATTTAAGAAATATTAAATAAAGTTTTTTGATTGCAATACTGATATACTTTTGTGTTTTACTATCGATTTCTCGGGGCATCTCATATTAGAGCACAATTTTTTGACTTTGCGATTTACTCACTTTTTACATTTCTTTAATTTAAAAAAAAATGGAATTTGAATTAAATTATATTTTAAAGCTTATTAAATTTTTTTTGAAATGACCTATTATTTTTTAAAATTCTGCTCATAGACTTCTAGCATTTATCCAAAATGTTGGTATTTCATAATAGAGGTCTTTCCTCTATACCCAGTGTTTGAGATCGGTAATTCGAAAAAAAGGTAAGAATTCCTTCGATCGACCGACAGTGATTGTTATTGAACGCACGCACAAGGCGAGCTCGTGATTTCATCTCGAGCCTGACATTAAGCCTCGTCAAAGTCAGGGATTCATCGTTCTCTAGTCTTTTCAAAACAATTCGGTACACGCAAACAGGCACCGGCAACGGACCATCGAAAGTTCTAGAACAATTCAATTCGCGCACGCGAGCGCCGCGCTCCGACGAATACGTCACCAATCCCGCGTACGGATTTTCTGTCGCGCATGACTGTTACGTTGAACGTCGTTAGAGAAGAATCGAAAGCGCCAATCAATTTTGTACAACCAATGCCACGTGATAATTACGATTGTGGCAAAATTTAATTGGATTTCTCCCAAGAAGAAAGCCCAGATCGAAAGCAATAAATGCTTCGATCTCGCCGTTCCTCCCGGGCAGATTGCTTAGATAGTTTACACCGCTTAAACCGTTTACACCGCTTAGAATTCTTAGACTTCTTAGAGTTCTCACTTCTAAAAGTTCTTCGAGTTCTTAGAGTTATAGTCTCGCTACTATATCTTCGTAAAACCGCCGTGCCAACCGCTTAGTGAAAACCGCTATAAAACGAATCTTTTCAAAAGTGCCGAGAAAATCGCCGAGATTTTCCATCACCGCGATTCCAAATACAATTTTGGAAAAGGTGACCGCATTTAATATTTTGTTAATCTAATATTTAATTAATTATATTTTTTGACTCTGTAACTGATCATATTAAAGAAAATTCTTTTGTTAAATTAAAAAGAAACGAAGTTCTCTTTACTGTCGTGTATCATATCAACCGTGTGCCGTTCTCTCACTCGAACCTTTCCGCGCGGTGCATTCTCGCACATTTTCTGGTCCTTCGAGCCGGATTTGAACTAGCGAGAAACATTGTTAGACAAACGCCGCATCACTCTAAAAATTTCACGTCAGCGCTCTCGCTCTGATTCGCTCTCGCATACCCAGATAACAAAGTGTGTCTCAGCAATATCGTGCAAATCTGTGATTGCTTATGATGTTGACAACTTGCTAGATTTGTCTTCAACGATTTCGAATATATTGACATTGTAATAACATGCAGACAACAATGTGTATATGTATTACCAGCAGCTACGTCAATGTTATCTTGCATTATGTCAGTAATATAACAGCATTGTATAATGCTGCATATTATTATGGCAACATGATGGCAACAGTACAATTTGATGATGACGATTTTGTCAGCAAATTGCTGGCAAGTCAGTACTCAATGTTATCATATTGTGACAGCATCAAGTTGCCAACAAATGGAGACTCAGTTGCTGCAATTTTGGTAACAATATATATTGGGTCATCTAAAAAGTATCCGCTCTAAAAAGTATATTTTTTGTCACTAGATGTGTGTTGATGGTCATATATCTAGTGACAAAATACCGCGGATACTTTTTAGATGATCCAATACTTAGCAATGCATATTTAGCAAGCAAAATGCCAGCAACAAGCAGACATCTGCTATCTGGATATATTCTGCAGATTTAATCTAACTTTTTATTTTAGAATGACAAAAAAATTGAATAATTTTAGAATAAACATTTAATTAATATAATAAATCAACTTAT